GAAAAATGGCATAATATAAATAGTTTTACAAAGCAACAATATAATCAATCTCTAAACTAGAATATAAATCAAGGATTTCATTAACTGCTAGTAGCCAGTTTAAATTGTAGTCTTGTCCATAATGTCTATCTATCTATGTATGTCCAAGTTATATTAAAAACCTTTAAATGGCTTTGTAATATCAGCTACATCTAGCTATTATAATAATTAATGGTACTGTTTTATAAATCAATACATGTATTCTTGATAAATTCATATCCAGTTAATGGTGTAATTTAAATAAAAAATTAATGTAATAAAGGACATACAGAAACAGGCAGGAAATCTTTAAAGGTTAAGAGACAAATTTGTCTAAATTCATTTTTAAGCCGTTTTGAAAAAGTTTATACTTAAAATCAGCTGAGATTTACCTTGTTTCTGTAAAACTAATTTTGCTGTGTCTGTTGGTATCCAGTAATGAATCTGTGCATTATTTTCTTTTTTAACTGTTAAGTTTTAATTACATACTTATGATACTATGAGATATGTTACTACCGTTATACTCTTTTGCAATTATTGAATATTCTTTAAAAAAATAGAACAAAACTAAAAATCTCAAGCCAGTAATTTATTTTTAATACATGAATGAAATGTAAATGCTCTCTCTCTATTTTTTATATCTATAAGCGAACGGTTGTGAGAATCTCCAAAGCTATATACAAATTTTATTTAAGGTGAAAAAGGACTGATTAGCTCAATAAATTTGCATGCGCAAAAGCGCAGCGTTTTTACTGCTTTCACTGAATGAACATCCTAGGAATTTGAGAAAGAAAAGAAAAATGCTTTGAAGAGTCTGCAATGTATTTTAACGCTGCACACGGGTGGAGAAACATGTTACAAAGAGAAGAGTGTATTATTGTTCTGATTTAAAAAATACATACCAAAGGCATCTTAAGGAATAACAGGATCTAGAAAAACAACTGGATGTTGTATGTTATCAAATACAATCTTAAATCTTTCCAAATAAAATTTCATTTGGTTTATAGAGTAAGCATTTTACACGAGATATCTTTCAGAATTATGCAGACCAGTCTGCCCTGCCATTCTCCGTGACATGGTGCAGAAATGTTACTTTAATCCACTGAGCTTTTTCTGACATTTTTCTTAACATTGCTGAGCCTTATTTAGAGCAGCAAAGGAGACGTGTGCAGTTTCCTTTGACACTGATGGGTGTTTCAAAATGTTACGAGAGAGAGACAGAGAGAGAGAGAGAGAGAGAGAGACAGAGACAGAGACGGAGAGAGAGCGCGCGAGAGAGAAAAGATTTGCTGCCAGTCACTTTATCAATAGAGCTACAGGAGCAATTACTATTTGTTAAAAGTTTACATTTCAAATGAAGCTAAATTTTAAAGAAGGCTCATCCTTTTAAAAGCCTGCTGCTTGGAAGAGGGGGGAAGAGAAGGCACGGTAGTGATCACATGTTAAAGTGCGCTCAAGTACTGGAACCATTTAAAATGTATTGTGTTTTTAGACGAAGCCTACAGCAAAACCACTCCTAAGAGGCTTAATTTAGGTTTTATAGGAGGAACATAAAAAAGACCAGGTTACAGCAACACGCTGAAATATGGGGTACATTTAAAATATCTTCATTTAAAAACGTATGTTTATTTTCCCTCCTGGGATCACTAACATGTGTCTCGACAGAGAAAGCAAGGACATGCTACATTCTTAAAAATTATCTGTTAAAGGGATCACATTCCAAGACAGGTTTGAACATTTTTATTACTACCAATAACCTCTTAATTATGTCACTGCCTTCCACTTGTTAATCAGGGACATTCAACATGGTTAACCAGTGAGCGGTTGCCTTTCGTCGACTTCATTATTATTAGGAATTAAAAACTCATTCTATTCCCATCATCATGTTTTTGCATCTATGATTTTAGCACTGCTAGAAACTTACCTGCTTTAAATACAGAACACCTAAGAAAAGGTCTAGATGCCCATAACAATGTTGTTAATTACTTCTAGGTGCAGCTCATGGAAAGCTTTAAGAGATGGATAATTTTACTTTTCCTGTCTTGCCCCCCTCCCCCAACCCCGCTGCCTCCCCCACATCTCCCACAATTCCTATTTGAACCAGTTTTAGGTTCCTTGTGCAACCACCAGCGTCTGAGATACTCAGAGACTTTTTTCAGAGAGCACGGTGTAAGTGGAGTAAATAAAATCATGTTTCACTGTTGCTTTATCAACCCTCCTAGGTAGTTTTCCTGCCAGCCAACCTGCACTGTTAAGACCCAGAAAATTATGCAATAGTGACTTCTTTGAGGTTCTCTAATCAGATGATGGCCAGTGTTAGGAGGGGAAGGGCCCAAGGCAATGTTGCTGGCACTTAATGCTGGGCTTGGTCATTACTTGTCTGGTAGAGACCAATAAACAGATGATTACTATCCTATAAGGAGCCAATATTTTACATTTATCCTAGTTATATCTTTTCTTTTCAACGTCTTATAACAGAAAGTATTTGTCAAGATCTATGAGGAATAACCTCACAGGCCCCTTAAAAATAAGAATTTTCCTAGCGTGAAATGATGTTTTTTGTGCAATGGTGAGAATGATTTTGGTTTTTATAAGAGCAAAGGTTTGATTACTTTAAAGTAGTTCTCTTTCAGATGTGGACAGTCCCAGACCCCATCCCCCACTCCCATGTCCCCCTCTCTCCTCTATGACAGGTTCACAGGCTGCAACCAAGGGGTTTTAAAATGCAAATATTTATATTGGAGCTCTGGCAATAACAGAGTCGTTTTGCTTCCTCTGTTAGCCTGTGATAATTGATGCTTCATACCTGGAACTACGTTTCATTTATCTCTTTACACATAAAGATATTACATAAATAAAAGATAATTTATGGAAAGGAAACAGCCATTTGAAATAATAATCCTAAATTTGACTGTAGAATCTAAAAGGCTTTAAGAGTCAAAGATGCAGATTTCTACAGTTTTAAAGAAAACTTGATCGCACCTGGGAAATTTGTGCATTTTTGCACACTTACTGAATTTGAATGCCTGCGTGGGTCAAAAACAAAAAAGAGGGATAAAAGGAAGGCAGGAGAGAAAAGGTGTGGATTTCACATGTGCTTTAAACTAATGCATTCGCCCACACGTCCACAGACTTCTTGTTACAATTTTATTGACTTTTTCTTTATATCCGAAAATAATTTCTAAATAGCTAATGCAAATTGCAAAATAGTGAGTCTTCTGAAGGGCCTTTTCTTCCCGGGGATCCTCATCTTAGAATGAACAGAGGTATTCCCAGAACCGGACCCTGATCTCACAACCTCATACAAAGCCAGGCAATTCTTGAGCCAAACAAACAAAGGGTGTGTAAGCGATTTCATTTATTTTGATAATCCTCCTCTTGCACAGGAGCATCTTGCTGTCTTTGTCAAAGTGAATGACAACAATTTGGCTAACTCTCTCTGAGCTGCGCTCAACAGTGACAGGCAAATTATCAGAGGCCCTGCACTTCTTATTATCAGAGGAGAAGCCATCAGGGGGACGCATGGAGGATACCTCTCCCTTGTCACTATTTGTCAGTGGGACAAGGGCCACTGCTATGGGTAGCTGACAGGTAATTTCAACAATAACAATTACTCCTATTACTGGTGTCATAAACAATTCGCCCAAGGCATGACAATAGCAAAGCTTTATAATTCAATGCCATATAAATAAATGCCAGCAGGTAACAAGTAATTTAGCTCCAATCAAGCTTTCACCCTGGCATTAATATTGTTATTGCAAGAAAATAGAAAATTGAAAAAACTCGATATGTTAATGAATTAAGAGAGGTTCAAGGGCTAGACAGAGGGGTTGAAAAAGGGAAACCAAAATTATTATGGGATCATATTTGGTGCCATCCTGAGGGCCAAAGAGCAGCATCATTACTGTCAGATAAGAAGGGGGACCAGAGATGCTGTTGCCCTCCACTTCAGGCCTGGGAAAAATGTGACATGGCCTTTCAAAATCCCCTTTCTCTGATTTCTGAAGACTGTAAGTAGAAATATGAGAACGTGTCTATAATGCAGCATTTCACTGGTTTTTTTCTTCCCACCTGAAATATTTCATATGCAGCAGAGGCATGAGTATCAAAGGAACATTTCCGCCTGTTTAAGAAAATCGCATCAGCACCTACTTCCTTTACATTAAGTCTTGTAACAGAAACTGTTTTAACAAGCCTATTTTTATCTTTGGTGAAGGTAATGCCGAAAACCCCTCTTTGCTCTCCAGCTGTCCACCTTTTGGAAGTAGACTAGAGGACACGGTCCAATCTTCCTCCATAAAACTTCCCGATGAAACGAATCTGCAATTTCAGTATTTGTCCAGCAAGACAATGTGCCATCATGGTGACAGCAGTAAAAGAATTTGAAAATCTCTAATTAGGAGAGCTGCGGAGCAATTAACGCATGTCAAATTTTACTTCATCAAGTGCCACTCTAATTTTCCTCTAAAAATTAATGGATTTTTTTTTCTTTTGGTATGTGTGTGTGTCCCCTTAAGGCAATGTTGATTCAAATCTGCTCAAGATGCAGTGTTGCACAGCTAAGCATCTTCTTGATTACAATCCGCCACCCTTCTAACTGCGCTCATTCTCACTGCCACGGATACTTTGTCAACAGTCAAATTACACCACGCTGATAACAATGCATAATGGTGTTCCTCCTCTGAGGCCCCTGGCAGGAGATGGGGTTCATAAAAATGTGATGTTTTCTTCTCAACTGTTTCTGAAGGAAGTTCGTATGACCAGGTCATAGTCAGGCGTTAATTTTTTGAAATTAATTTGTTAATTTCAAGAAAGGGAATATAATGATAGAATATGAAAATACCTCACTGAAAAAAAATCAGAGGAAGAATGAGGAATTGAGAATATCTGTGGCCAAAGTTTTGCTTAAACACTTTGTTCGGAGACATTTTCAAGAGCACTACTCTTGGTAAAATACCAGAGTTTTTTTTTTTTTTTTTTTCTTTACTTATGAGCTATAAACATTGGAAGCCTCTCTTGAACAGACAGTATTTAGATTGTGAGAGAAGTTTGTTTAACTGCCATATTTGCCAGAATCTTCAAAACATCACAGGACACAGAAGATAAATGACTCTTTTTTTTTTTTCTTTTTTTTTAGGGTCAGGACTGTATCTTCCAGATAAATGTTGATTCATTTTAACTATTTTTTATCCTACTTGCTTGTTGCCGATTCGTGTGCTTGAGTCATCAGCACATATGAGGATTGTTTCTCACTGGAAAATGAGAGAAACAGCAATTAGATGATTTTACATTCGGTGTAAAATCATTTAGAGATCAGTCAGATTTCATATTTCTAAAACAGTCAGATCCAAAACAAAAATGGACATTTAGCATTAAACAAAATGCTAAATGAATATCTTTGCAGATTCTTTCAGGGAATGGAGACCATTCACATGGATTGACATGCCAATTTTCTCATCGTGTAAGTATATTTTTGATCGGTTTCTTTAATCCGATTTATTTAGTAAAAAAAAGAAAATCTAAATTCATGGTGTATACGCTTCCTTTTGTCTTTTAATTCACAGGTTGAATGTGGTCTTTTCATTTACCTACAACTAACTCAAAAATCTTACATTTGATATTTTGAGGTTTGTATTTCCAAATATTAAAAAACTCTTTCCTTCCTTATGGCCCCTCCCCAGCATGTTCTGAAGTGGTCTCTTTCAGACAAAAGAGAATGACATCCCCCTTTCAACTAGCAAATGTTGGATTCCCTAAACCAACTGGGGGTAAACTGGAAGTTTTGCAATTAGATTCACACAAGCTGAATATGTTCATTATCTCCAAACATTCTCCTTCGAACTTTACAAATATAACAGTACTGAGTTTAGGGTTTCCTGTGGCTTGTTTACAAATAAAGGTATCTTGATAAAAACCAAGCCCTGTGTATTTCTGAAAAACAAAAAACCATGCAACAATCTCATATGAAAACACTACAAAAGGATTGTGAAGGGAAATTTAAAAGGAGAAAACTTGATTATATAATGCAATCCAGCAGTAATCAATTTTACCTTCAATATCTTGCTTTTGTTTTCAAAATGCTAAATAAACAATACATAATGCATCCCTCATCAGCCAAACCATGGAGGCTCTGTGCTCAAATAACAGGAAACATATTCAATTTTCCTAACAGAAGACAGTTCATTAAGCTGTGCCACATCAAATAAAACTTTAATTTCTCCAGCATCAGAGTCGCAATGAAAGCAATTGAAGAAGATGAGCCATATGGTACTTCTATCAGCAAACACATATTGCTCATTCCCCCAAAGTTTTCTAATTCTGCTCCCCAGACCTGTGTAATATAGATAATGTGCTCCGAGAGCAGCAACCATGAGCTATCCAGTGTATGCTTCTAATACTGTATTTAATGGGAAATAATGAATCATAAAAGCCTGGAGAAGACGGCTTTTGCTAACCTAAATCTCAGCTGTAATTTCATTGTTCTGTGCCTAAGATGCTGTTCGCCCTTTCCAAACAACAGCAGTTGAACATAATTATGCTGCTTCAAACCTGGGCTTGGAAAAGCATCCCTAATATAACCAAGTTTCTATTAACTCCTGAAATCCTGAATTTAATGATGCACTGATGCAGACATTGATAGAACCGAGCATGTGTCATTTTAAAACCCAAATAAGCATTTTTCTCCTTCTTCTTTTGGTCAGACTGCTCAATGCATTTATGTTCCCTCCTCCACCCCCTTCTCCACCCCCCCACCCCCATGCAACAGGAGTGGCATGATTAAAAATGAGGAGATTTTCTTGTTATTAGCAAATTTGACATTTGCCTGATGAAATGCACATAAAATGTGAAAGCTACACAGTACTCAGAAGCAATGTCTCTACTCCAGTGCAAGCAACCAAGATGAAATAATTTAGGCAAAGGAAATGTAAAGACCCTCGTACATCTCTACCGCAGAATGCTAGGATTGTATTATAAATGAAAGAACCAAATCTTGCCGAGCTTTTAGGGCAATAGTGTTTTGACACATGTGAAGTGTATAGATAGTGTTTCTTCTCTCACCTTCACCGCTTTGATTATTAACCTGAACGTAATACGTATGCTCGAACGCAGCAATTTCCGTGTCATGGTCCAGCCTGTCTCTGGCAAGATCCTGGGGCTGGGGCTTAATTCCTTTTTAGAGGAAAAATGTTCCTTTTTCCCCCAAATAGGTTGATGATTTTAGCTCTTCCATTTTTAAAGCTCATCAAATCAATATTTTACCAACACAATGCTAATTTAAAACACTATCAAATAACACTGCGGATACATATTGAAAACATATTTTAATGGTTTTGTTTGTTTTGGCATCGTATGAACCAAGGACGATTAAATTAAAAAGAGACTTTTAAAAGTTAGAGATTGCCTTTTGAAAGCTTATTAAAATCAGCATGTTCCATGCCTGTCTCTGAATTAGCTCTACACACTTGATTGCCATCATTAAAACGAGTTGTTTGGGTGCTGCTCCGTGATGGTTCAAACCCTTCCTCAAAGCCGATTCTTACTAGTTATTAACTTGAAATCTCCTTCCATTGAAAAAAAAAAAAAAAAAAAAAGTCATTCTAGCCAGTGGAGGGAACAGTCACCGAAAAGTGAAATAGCATAGCGAGACAGCAACGTTAAACCCCGAAAAGACCAACAGGTAAAATAACTACAGCAACATCTAAAACACACTCAGAAAAAAAAAAAAAAAAAAATCACAACAACAACAGAGAAGCAGTCCATTGATTATATTTCATGAATGCCTTAAAACAAATGTTTAAACAGTTTTCTGAAACAGTGCAGAAAACCTCTGCATGCTCCACTGGGTTGCAATGACAATGGTCTATTGCAATGTAAAACACGCTGGAGGATAAAAAGGTGCTTTTTGTTACCATTTTATCAAAGCTGTTCATCTTCGAGCTGCAGGCAGCATTTTGCTGGAATTGCAGATATTTCTCTGTCCAGGCTCCTTTGTTTGTGCATCTCATTTGCATATATTTATCTCCAGCTGAGGGTGCTTTCTGCTCATTAAGGCCTCCCTTCACATTATTTCATAAGCCAGCTGCTAAGAGGGATTTCACCTGTGGTGACTGAGAAAAGAGGGGTGAAAAACTAAATTCTTCATAAAAAGGAAATCTTCTGAGTCTCTTCCCCTATAAATGGGCACCATTTGTGTTAAACAGCCTCTTGTCATGATAGATGCCTCCAGAGGTCAGGGGTTAAAGTTGATTTGAAGGTCAGCAGTAAAACAACAGACAAACCAGACGCCAAACTGGTTCCTTAGCTGTCGGTGGGAGCTGTGGTACAAACAGGTCTTGAACCTTTTTCAACCTCTAATAAAACAGGGGATGAATCTGAAGTGGATCAACCAGGCCCCTGAGGCAGCAGCACAGAAAAACACAAATAATATCAATATCAGGCAGCCACAGGAAACAATGGGGCATTTCTCCGTTCTACGTGCATGCTGCTATTGTTTCAAGGGCTGGGGAATTAATTCCACTTATTTATTTAAGGCGTGTCAACTCACTGCCTAAACCTGTTTCAGTGTCAAGATGAATAAAACTTTTATGGCTCATAAAATAGAGCCATTCATCTCAATGTTCTTTGTGGTGCGTGTGTTTTTTTTTTTTTTTTTTTCTGGCATACTGAGCTAGGCCTCTGCTCCTAAATGGTTACATCTGAACCCACTGTTGCTATGATCCACACCATATTAGAGAAAAAATTATTTCACCAGCAAATGGATCTCAACAGAAATGACAAGGAAAGGATTTTAGCTGTGATGTAATTGTCCCAAAATTCCTCCTAAGTATGCCTCATGTGATTGCATCTGTTTTGAGCATGCGTTATTTACAAAGCAGAAGTTTCATTATTTTAAAGAAAAGTTCAGACACAATAGCAATAAAATATTAGTTTCCTAGACTATTATGTATTTCATTTTACTTTAGAAATGCAACCTGGTTAGGGTATTCCTTCCCATTCGTCTTTTTTTTTTTTTTTTTTTTTTTTGCCCAAGTTTTCACTGTTACATAGTCGGCTTGCACCCAGGTAATAATCAATATTTACCCAAGTAATAATCAAATACCTTCTTTAGCTCCAGTGCTTTGACTATTATGTGTAATTTTTCAACATTAAATGCCAAACATCAATGGAAAGGAAAATGCATAGAAGTGCCTTTTGTGTGAGTTTTTTCAAAGTTCAGTTTTAGAATTTACTTTGGATATCTGACTGGTGATTTTAATAATCATAGAGAACATTAGAATTATGTGAGATAACAAACACGTTAACATTCATGAAGTGCCACACACAGTGCTAAGTACATGCATTTTCTCATGCAGTTATTAGTGATAATTCAGTCCAAATCACAGAAACCTATGTAGAGTGGGCTGTAAGAATAACCCTCTTCATTACCCAGAGCATAACTTAGTTAAAGCAAAAAATTCCAATCAAACAGTATCATCATTCCTGCAGATGCGTTAATAGGTAACATCACGGAAGAATGATTGAAAAGACATCAAAAGTGATGATGAGCAGAAAGACACAGTTTGAGGACATTTCACAGATTCTCCAATCACAGCAGCTTAATTCATGTCTGTGATAGCCCTTTGCTCCATCCCAGTGTAAACTGATTTGTAGAGGAGTCACTTACTCTGTTGTCCCAGTCGCTTTGCTCTTGAGGGCCTCCCACGAATATGATACTTTACTTAGGATGCCATAGTATTTCTAATTTAGTCGGCTTGTGGGTCAGTTTTTCCACGTGAACTCAAGTTTTTCAGCAAGTAAATTATTTGGGAATAGCCCAAACACAAGTTGTGCCTTCACATTTTGCCCGGGCACAAAGATGTGGCCCTGGGGAAGGAGGGGCAGTTTTTGGGCGCCAAAGGCCGCTCAGGATTCGACCGCTCTGTACTTCCTATTTGAACTGGTGTGTGTGCCAGCGGCTTTGCACAGGGATGGCCCATTTACCAGGCGGCCCTGTCTGAAAATGGAATTGCTTTCAAGTGGCCACCAGGCGCTGAGAAAAATATTTCAACTCAAAATTGATTGGGTTTTGGTAATCTATGGCAATGTGTTCTCATTTAAGCACGGAGTGGGAGATTTTTCTTCTCTAACCAATTACAGTGTAAAAAATGCAAGCAGCCCAGCTTTGCACAAGGAGTGCAACTTGTGGTTGGAGACATTTTCCAACTTATTAAATGTTGTTTATATCCTCATTTTTGTAGACTCTCTGTCTTCCCAAAGCATTTTATAGCTCCCTCTGTATCTGACGTATCCATTTTCTTTCGGACCTTCCACATTAAATCCAACCCCACTCCTATCCACCTCCTCCCCCCACCCAGCCTAGAACCTCCAAGTAGCCAGACTAAAGCAAAAATACACAATTGACTCCCCCTAACGTCTGCACCCATATCTCTGGGTTTTCTTGCTAATCTAATCGCTAATTCTTAAGCTTGGCCAAATAGTTAAAAATGTTAAGTGCTAGCAAAGCCTTTTACCTCCCCCTCCTATCTGTCTCTGTTTATGGAATGGGCCCAGTTTCCTCCTCTTCTCTTTCAGCCCAGGGTCCTCAGGTCAGAACACTGTAAATACACACAGCCCTGGCCCGACCCATAAATCTGAGCAAAGGGCAGGCTTATATATTCAGATAAGCGTGGGTGAGGGCGGGGGCATGGAAGGCGCGAGGACCAGTGGAATCTGATGCTCCACAGCCGTGTTCAGAAAAGAGAACTAAGAAGGCCAAACATCTTTAGTGGGGAAGGAAGAAAGATTTTTGTCTCAAAATATCTCTCCTTATTTCTAATAGAAGAGGTTGGCACTTCTTTTCTCTTTTTTCTTTTTTTCACTTTTTCTACATTGCTTATCTTCATATCCTTACCAAACATATTATCTTAGACACAAACAAATTAAACAATAAATTTCATTTATTTTGTATGTCCTTTTTTTCCTCTTCAGTGTATTTGTTTGTGTTTTGAACTTTGTGGGGTGTGTGTGTGTGTGTGAGAGAGGAGAGAGAGAGATGTGAATTGGAGTCATTTTACCAGAAATTCTTTTCTACTGTAATTTTTCAAACCCAAGGTCTTTGACTTAAATAACCATGTTGTTAGTCACCACATTGAATCCCAAAGAAAAACATGTCTGACGAAGTTGGAAATGACAAAGTGATAAATAAATGGCTACGAATCCTTCAGTCTTCAAGGCTTCTACTTTATTCCCAAGTCCAAATCTTTTCTGCTGGATTTTTAAATCTCAAAAATTGTCTGTGACTCCTGAAAGACCGTCCTCCGTGGGAGATGTGGCCCTTGTGAACATGGATATTGTCACAATAGACAATCCTGGGCAAAGGGTGCCTGGGTGGCCCTGTCGGTCTGATTTTGGCTCAGTTCACGATCTCCCTTGTTCGTGAGTTCGAGCCCTGCGTGTGGCTTGCTGCTCTGCCCCCCCCCCCCCCCCGTCCCCTGCTCCTCCCCACCGGTTCTCTCTCTCTCTGAAAAAACAAATAAACTAAAAACCAATCCTGAGCAAGGTGACCATGGCTGACAATGTACTTTCTATCACTCCTGTCCCAATTCTCCATTATATGCAATGAAATGCACCACGAATTTGCCTGTCATTTAAGACACTAGGAAAATGTGGCTCTTGATTTGTTTTCAATCAATATTTTTATATTTTATCACATAAACATATATGTCATCCTTAGCTGATTTTTCCAGGTTTTTCTTTTGGCTAATAGAGAACTGGTTTTTCAAAAAAAGGGCAACTCAGGTTCCTCAAAAGAGCTTCTTGGGTGGAAAAATTAGTGAAAATTCCATATTAGGTAGGAGAATTTTATGGGAAGAATTATCAAGAGAGTAATTGGGCTGGCAGCCCAGAGCATTTTCTATAGCCTCCTCTTTAACAAACCCTTTAAATAATAATGATGACAACCATCACATTACCATTACTTGGGAACTTACCTTTGGAAAGCAATTGTACTAGGTGCTTTAGATACATATTACTTTTAATCCTACAACAAGGTGGCAAATTAAATATTGGCAGTCTTTATTTATAACTGAAAATCTCCGGTTTGAAAAGTGAAGAAACTTGTCCCAGAACATGCATCTAAGGCCAGAATTTGAGCAAGCGAGACTGGCCCCAGAGCTGTTTCTTCTGAGTTGCTTCTTGGGGGCTCAGGTTCTCTGTCTTCGTGGTGAGGATCTTGCGTGGAATGGTGTCTCTTTAGTGGTACTCTGTGTCTGGGTTGGTTTTCTCCAGCCCACGCCCTTCCTGACGCCTGGGCCTGGTGTCTTCCACAGTCCCGGCATCTCGGCTTACCTCTCCCAGTCCTTCTGGGCCACACGACTGACGCTAGACTCATTGGTCCCTCACCCGACCTACTTCTCCTCTGTGATACACCTGCTGTTTAACTGGGAGCACCGTCACTCCACACAGCATTCTGGGCTGAGGGCTTTCTGCCTGCCTCCACTCTCTCCCACCTCATCTACCTCGATGGCCACCCAAGCCTGGCAGAGCAGAGACGGGTGCAGGGGTGTTATATTCCCACCCGCTGGGTGTGAATCCTGGCTCCTGTTTGCCAGCTGTTTGCAGCCCTGGAGAAGTGACTTTACTCCTCTGTGCCCTGATGTTCTCATCTGTAAAATGGGGCTGGAAATATCACTTATTTTATAAGGTAGCCTAGTTCAGACTCCTGGTTTTGCTTGACTGAACTATAGCCGGGCTCTCCCTTCTGTAATCCAGCCTCCTTGCTTCACCAGAGTTATCATTATAAAGTAATAAACATGATTCTCCTCTGCTTAAAACTCTTTAAGACTCCCTGTTACCCTCACGTCCAACCACTTAGGCAAATGCCCTGCCGATTGGTCTTTTCCATCATGTCCCCCTAAGCAATTTGCACTATGGCAGCAAAAAATTATACAGGTGATACTCTCATATGCCTCCAGACTTTTGACGTGCTGTGCTCTCTACTGGGAATGCCCTTCCCTTCCTTTCCCACCTGGTGAGTACACTTATCTTGCATGGTTCAGTTCAAGTCACCTGTTTTTTAGGGCAGCGTAAATGGAGTTGGTCACTTCTAGAGTACATTCCCCTGTTTGAG